AACACACAAGATTACATAAAGGAAGTCATTTTAAAACTTCAGGTAAAATCTTGAGTTTTCTTTTATGAGCTGGTCTGAGTGGGACTTCCTTTGCAGGGGGCCTCCTGGATCTCGTCCATGAGGATGGAGAGCAGGATGAGAAATGGGCCTTCTCACATCAGTCTGCAGAAGAGTTCTCAAGTGGCAGAACACAGTATTAACATTGGAGGAATCACATATTTACACATTTTTCAAATATTAAATAAGTGATTATGATGTGGCTTTTAAAAATAACAAATTAGCCTAGATAAGGACTTGTCAGTGACCTTGTTGAAGATCTTTCATATTAATCAATTTATTTCATACAAAATATAATAAATGAACCTAGGCTAGTACATGCAACCAGCAAAATGAACATCAAGCCTATATTTAACAGGGAAAAAAAGTATATTGTCAATATGACACAATGGCAAAAATGACATAATTTATTCCAAAATAGTTAATGGACAGATTCTAGACTAGAAGAGTGATTACAAAATCAACAGATTTCAACAATGAATAAGAAGATGGTGGGAAACTTTAAATCAGAGAATGTGAATATCTGATAATGTAAAAGATAAGAGAATTCTAAAATAAATTGGCTAATGAAAATGAGAGCCAGAGCCAAAGTCAACCAAATCTGTGGACAAAAAGTATTTAGGAAAAATTCAGAAAATGTTACATCTATTCAAATATAGCCATGTCATACAGCCATAAAATCACAAATATCTTATGGTTTTTAACATTAAAAGAGTACGCAGAAATTGCCAAATGAAAATTTAAGAAGATTGGCATTGGGAAGAGCTCTTATAAATATGACAAAAGCACAGAAGCTATCCAAGATAAGACTGACAAATTTCACTACATAAAAGTATTTAAAAGTTTCAACATAGTAATATATATAAAAAAAAAAGTTAAGAGACAAGTGATAAACTTGGAAAAATATATGAAACTCAAATCACAAAAGATAATGTATATTTACATATGTATATTCTGCAAAACAAAAATGAATGACAAAGAACATATAAAAACAGGCAACCAATATCTTGGAGAGTTTTTGGAAAAGGAAATATAACTTTCTCAAGTATATTAAAGGCACATTACTTAAAAGAAAAGAAATAAAAAATTAAAACTACCGCGATACAATTTTTTGGTCTAGGAGAATGAAAGATCAAAATATGTTGGTTGGTATCTAGGGCGATGGACACTTTCATACATAGTAATTTGATAGAACCTCTGTGGAAGGTAATTTCAAGAATACATACCCATGTACACATTTATACACACACACACACACACACATCCAACTGTTGAATTTAACTTTTCTTTTAGGACTTTATAATGAAAAGATAAAATGATCCAAGAAAAGAATATTTGAAGCCTTGCATAGAACAGAAAAAGAATACCATATCTATCAGACCCTGGACCATGTTGTTCAATGGTTAGAGTGTCAGCCTGTGCACCAAAGGGTTGGAAATTCAATTCCCAGTCAAGGGCACATACCTCGTTTGCAGGTTCCATCCCCAGCCCCAGTTGGGGAACATGCTGGAGGCAACTGATTGATGGGTTTCTCCTCTCACATTGATATTTCCCTCTCTCTCTCTCCTTCCCTTCCTGTCTCTCACTCTCTCTAAAAATCAATGGAAAAAATATCATCCTCAGGTGAGGATTAATAAAAGTAAACAAATAAATATCAGTAGGGAGCTGGCTAAATACAACTGTGCATTGAAATAATATATGGAACAGGAAAGTCCTTTATGAACTGATACTCTAAGATGCATAACAATATTGAGGTGTATATTAGTGAATACAATATTCTAGTTGAAGTTTGCACAATGAAATCACCTAGGACTCATTTCTCCAAATATCTCCCTGTCATTAAGCAATGCATGGCTGTGTACACACACACGGGCACATGCACACACACACATTTTTTTTTTTTTTTTTTGACAAGCGCAACATATCTTTGTAAGTATACTCAAAACCTGGAAGGTAATCATGAATAACTGGTTAATGTAGAGAAGAACTGGCTGACTGGGGCAGAACCTTTGCCCTGTGTGTCCTTTATTAAAGATTGAATTTTAGCTGTATGAAAGAATAACAAGTCTAAAAAGTAAAGTACACAAGTTGTCTCCCATCTGTAACATTATCACCTAACCCTGCCCTCGGTTAACTTTCTCTATCACCCATGAGTGTTATGAAGTCTACCTCATCAGTATGCTTCTGTGTAAACAGACACCAGGCACATGTCTATTTACAAAGCCAGTTTAATGAAACCACCCTCTAAACTCAGTTTGAAGAAAAAGTTAAATGGACCTCCAAGATGGAGACACTATGAGCTCTGAGCCACAACAACACATTCAGAGTTTAGAAATGAATGAAAGCAGAAATACAGAATTAAAGTTAATAATTTAGGATCCACTAGGGTTGCATTTTTTAGATGTAAGAACATTTCTGGATTTTTAAAAACAGGAAAAATATTCAGTGAATAGAAAAAACAACAACCCTGCTTTATCAACAGACTGGGCCCAAAGAGATTAAGTACCTCAAGAACTGTGACAGATATTTGAGGATCAATGGTGTCCTTTAAAAAGCAGAGACAGACCAGGAGGAAGCACAAGAAGAAAGGAATTAGGAATCTTCTTTTCTCCCAGAGCCCATTCTTATCTTATTAAGAGCACTAACCAATCTTCAACAGCAGTGCTGTTAAAACTCTCTTTTATAAAATGAATCTGGGAGTTCACTAAACCGAAGAATATCTCTGGTTTTAAAAATGCCCATGGTGAAACTCAAATGATTAAAATTATGGAAGTAATCTTCGAAGACAGAGGTTGAAAGTGGTCTGTAAATTTAACGAAGGAGGACAGGAGCTAACTCTCATTATTCAACCCATCAGTGATGAAGTTTGTCCTCACACTGGTTAGAGTCTATGGCAAACTTCTTGATAGAAATAGAAAATTGATTGTAAACTAGAACATAATTGAGGTGAAAGAGATCTTGGTCTAATTTCTTTAAAATATCGCCAAGGACCTGAGATCCAGAGAAATGCCCAAAGTGACCCAGCTGGTTGATGACTGAGCTAGATCTACTTGGTTTTGTGCTTTTTTTTGCTGTAAAATATTTTAAAAGAAACTGATAACCACTGTTCTTGAATGGGTATTAAAGCTGTATGGGAAGACAGGGGGCTTATCTAGAGAAGTCTTTATTCTCTTATGGATTTAACTTCTTTAGAAGTGCAATGAATTTGGTGTGTGCATGTGTGCGTGTATTGGGGAAGTGGTATTTATGATGATGGAAGGACATTCACTGGAATATCAAGTCATCGTGCTTGGGCTGCTCACTCTCTAAGCTGAAATGTTTCCAATCGCTTCCAAATTCTGTGATAAAAATCAAAGACTCTGAAAGCAGAGAAACAGATCCACTGTTTCTGCAATGTGTTTTGTCAACTCTGTGCCCTATGGACCAGTCTGGGGGGCTGACTTTTCTTATCTAGGAAATGGAACCAGTGACCTCAACTCAGATTTATTTGGTTCTCAGACGTGCATAGAGAGAATAACACTGAGATTCTTAGCACATAAATATTGCTATGTAATAGTGATGTTGGTAAGAATAATTATGGATAGGCAATAATGCAGTAGTTAATACACATGACTATTCTAATAGTCTTACTGTTACTGTATGATTGTCTCAAGTCTCCAATTTCTGAACACCTTCTGAAACTGAAGGTATAGGAAAAAAATTGAAATGGTACAAAATGCTACCATAATAACATGGTACCTGTGGTCAGTCATATCTACAAATGTTCGTACTGCCATGGTTAGTAGTAGACTTCCTTATCTTTTGCCTAAGGAGTAAATACATTAATTTGGGCAGTAATGAATGCAGGACAGAAAAGTAGAGCAGGGTGATATTAGGTAACATCAAGTATATTTATTTAATGTAACACTTTATTAAACAGAGTATTCCCCCAAATCCAAGGGACTTTGCAGGTAGGGTGATGAAAGAAAATTATGAATGAGAAATTCTTCTGTGGAAAGTGAACTTTTCTGTAAAGAAGCAAGGTCTTAATTTTTTGAGTACTGCAAGCAAGGGATCACAGGTTTCTGTGTTTTCCTGGAGGAGAAACAAAGTCAAGAAATAATATTTCTGAGGGTAAGCAAAAGCTATTGGATATATCCTTTCACTCCCTAAACTGAGGGCTCATTTTAATTTCAGCCATTCTAACAGATCTTGCTGTAAAACAAAGCCAATACGTAAATTAAGAAGTGGCCAAGGTGTGACATCTTTGGGAATGCGGCTCAGGTTTCAATTCCGCTTGTCAGAAGCAGCGGTCCCGACCGGGACCTCGGGAAGAAAGGTCTAGGAGAAGCCATCAGTTGGTCAGATCCTCCTTCAGGAAGGTCGGCGCTGAGGTTAGAACCGACCGGACCGCGTTTAGCTGGAGAGGACGCCTTGGGGGTGAAGCTGGGCTCCGGGACTCGCACGGTCAGGGGGCACCCCCACCCCAGCTACTCTCCAGTTTAGCCACCCACTCCAGGAAAGCCCGGAGGGGATTCGCTTGGGGTTAGGCTAGTAGGAGGCTGTCAACGCTCTTTAGGACCTCAGGGAAACCGGGGAGTTTCTGGCTTTAGGACCCAGGAACTCCGAGGCAGCTTTGACTTAGATGCCGTGGACCACAGCACCACCTACTTATAGAAGCATCCCGAGCCTCAGCCCAGCTGCATCTCCGTCGGAAAGTGCGCTCGCCACATCCTTCGGCCTCCCGTGAGCGTTTTGTCTCCCTCAGCTTGGACAGGGAGAGATCTTAGCTGTGAAGTAGCTGTGGAGAGAGCTCGGGAAACCGTCCAATTTGGACAGGGACCCAGAGAGTGCGAGCGGGCGTGCCCCTTGCTCGAGGATCACATTCACCCGCGGGGACGCAGCATCCACCGCGCTCCCGCCAGGCGCCGCCAGTCCAGAGGACCCTCCGCGCGTTTTAAAGCCGCGGCGGCGGCCGCGGAAATCCGGAGCTGCCAGGCGCTCCCGGCGGGTCTCGGCAAACTTTGCCCCCGCCCACGTGCTAGCGAGGCGGCTGGCTTCTGGAGCCCGGGATGAAGCGCCGCGCCTAGGCACGCCTCACCGCCCGAGACGTCAGTGCTCACGGTAGGCGACCACCGCCCGGGTGTCCCACCTGGGGACCTCAGGGCCGAAGAGCGCCCCTTTAACCCGGGCCCTCCGTGCCTTCGGAGTGCTTTCCTTTCCCTGGAGCGCCGCACACGCCCTTTCCCCCGGGTCCGAGCCTGCAGCACCGCAGAGGTGGCTAATTCACTGATTGTAATCACCTCCCTCTCCAAGTCGCCGGCAGCTGTGCGCTCGGGGTTAAGCAGCTCCGCGGCTCGTGCCAGGCAAGGAGTTCGCTTCCCCCCTCCCTCCCCTTCTTAAGTTAGGACTCGCGCAGAGGCAGCTGCCACCCCGGGGCTCCTGCCACCCCGGACCCATCCTGTTTCTCCTCCCGATCTCTCAGGTTCAAGGCGAGGAGATGCTGACCGCGCGGAACTGACCGTCGCTGTGCTCGGGCTACTGGCGACTCTCCCTGTGCGTCTTCCCCGGCAGCGGTCAGCGCCGGCTCCTCGGATGAGCCCTCCAGTTCCCCGACTTTGAGAGGCGTCTCTCCCCCGCCCGACCGCCCAGATGCAGTTTCGCCTCTTTTCCTTTGCCCTCATCATCCTGAACTGTATGGATTACAGCCACTGCCAGGGCAACCGATGGAGACGCAGTAAGCGAGGTGGGTGCTGTTCCACCCGAGGCGCGTGGCGTGGGAGGGGGTGTCGCGGCGCTCACTCGCTCCGGGGCACTATCCTGTCCCCCCTGCACTTGCACACCACCGCTGCCCACTTCCCGGGCGCGGAGCTCCGCACTACGCTCTGTCTTTTCTGCCCGCAGAAGGTGCGGCCAACCGGAGCCAGAGGCGCGGAGCGCCGGGTGAGCCCGGCTTGCGTTGGGTGCTCAGAGCTAAGTGGTGCGGCCGGTGTCCACGTTCACTGCTGCTCCTCTACTCTGAATTCTTCTCCCTTTCGGTCTCACGTCTTATTTGCCACCCATTTTTCTTGTTCTTCCGTCTCTTTCTTTTTAGTCCTCTTGACCATCTCCCTTGCAGCTAAAATGTCTTTACCTTCCCCCAAGCACGTGCACCCCAAACTGTGACCCCAGATCGCTTTGGACACGGCCTAACAGCGTGCGTGTGCGTGTGTGTGTGTAACAGGGAGCGGGAGAGCATCTCGGTGGGGTACCAAACTGAGGTGGAGGACCTGCATTTCCACGAAAAGAGCAACATCGACCTCTTTTTCTGGAATCTAAGGCTAAATGGGATGACTTACTGAACTTTCTGCATTGAGCAGTAACTCGTGAGCAGGTTTTCTGGGGAGCGCTCGCCTGCAGAGTGATGTTTTGGGGACAGGCCCGACTTTGCCCTCCCCATTTACTTCTCTCAGAAATAGCTGCTTTTTTGAGTGACGTTTCTGTTCTCAATGAAATTCACTTGCGGCTTTTAAACCGCTCTCTCCCTCTCCATCACTTGTGTGAGCTGCGGGGAAAGGCGAGTGGAAGGCTCCAGAAAGGTTTCAGAGAGCTAGCTTTCCCGCAGATTTACTGCGCCAAATTCTGTCTCTGAGCCCTGCTGTGGCTTAGCTAATCCAACTGCACTTTAGGGGAAGAGCTGCTAAACGCAATTAAGTCTTCTGCGGGATTTAAACACCACCCCCTCCCCCGCTCCACCTCCCCTACACCTGGCATTACCCGCTCCTGGAAGGCGCACAGCCACCCCTCAGAGCTATCTAGCAATTTGCGCGGTTAAAATTTGTCTTGACGTTAACAGATCTTGATTTTTCTGGGCTATAAACGTCTCCCTCGACCTGTGATGTGATTTGTTTATAACTTGTTTTATGGAATCTCCAGTTGTGCATCCAGATTTTGGAGCGAGCTTTGCGCACCCTAATTTTTCATAGTTTTTTAGGAAGTCGTTAAGCTGTTCTCACCTACCCGCGGGGCTGGAGGTTGGCCCGCCCAAGGGCAGAGCTCGAGATAACGTGCGGTGTGCAGCGCCCGCAGCCTCTGCCTCCACTGGACGCTACAGACCTGTGCTTTATAGGGATACTCCTCTCTTTCTCCTCGCGCGCTTTCTCTCTCACTTCTGACATTTGGAAAATGCTTATTTTTAGAAATTATCCTGCACAAAAACACTAGGGAGAAATTTCTCCCACAGGCCATGAAAGTTTGATATTGATCTTAGTCTTGGAAAAGTCCCTTTCTGTCCTCCCTCTTCTCCTCCCCTCCCAACTGGCTCCTTTCTCTACCCCGTGTTTTCTTTCGAGGTATTATTTGGTTGAGTTGGCAATTTTTGATTACACCGTGGTCAGAAGTGTTTGGAGAGAGTCCCCCCTCCCCCTCCCCTTCTAAGCAGAAGTTGCAGTCTACTTGGTTGAAAAAACCTACGTGCTTAAAGTTTGAGAAATACATAGAAATAGCAAAAATCCTTTGCTAAATTCTTGTTTATTCGTGGACTTTCTAATTCAGGGATGCCTTTCTGACCCACACTGCCTGCCCCGTTGTGGCTGAGCAGGGAAGAAGCATGTTGTTTCAGTAGAACTGAACGTGGAGATGCCGCTTGGTGGAGAAGGACTTTGCAGCACTCCTGCGGCCAGAAGCAACACTGCATGCTTTCCCGCTGCGCCCTCCAGCCCTGCCTCTGCCGTCTTAGGTATCTGAGGCAAAGCCTATTTGTTTCAAAGCTGCTTTAGCAAAATCTCATACCCTCCACATCCCCAAGTGCTAATATTTAGAAACCCAGTTCTAAAGTGTGCAATGATAACTTTTGCCAAACCAACCTTTCAATTTAATAAAATTCAAATGCTTTCAAGTACATGTGTAAGGTTGTAAAGAAAAAAATTCTATCAAAGTGTACCCTCTCCCCCCTTCTTAACAGATGTCCCTTCCCAAATCCCAAGTTTCTGGCTAAAATGACTGCGGTCCTTAAAAGTGACCACACTATCTGTGCCAACAAAGGGTGTACTGTGTTTTTAATTAAAAGTGGAACTACTTAAAGGGCTGGCTAGACAGTGTAGGGTGATAGTAGCTATTCTGCTTTGCAAGGAAGCTTAAGGATTGCATTGTGAGAGTATTGAAATGAATAGAGATCTAACTCAGGTCGTGTGAATTGTTCCTCTTCACAAACTTAAGCTGGTTTTAATTGATCTCATGTCCACTGATTGATCCTACACCAATTGTTGCGCATACCAAACAATTGGCTTTCCCAAAGGAGATTGATTAAAATTAGTTTCTTGGCAAATGCTTGACTACTAGCCAAATCATGTCAGCAGTGACAGCTGACATGTTAGAGCCTATTGTGGTACCAACATTTCCCCCCTTTTCCCTTTGTTTTTGATAGTGGCAGTTAAATATTACTTTCCAGGAAGAAAAATGATTAGTACCTTAAAAAAAGAAGGTGTCGTGGCTCAGAAGATCAGTTATATTCTTGGCTTTGTGCTGTAATGTAGGCAGCAGTGATAGCAGGATTGGTTAGGCTAATGCCTGGGATCTGATACTTTTTTATTTTTTTCATATTCCATCTGCAAATAATCAGACCTTCACTGTGGAGCATTCTCAGAACTTCTTTGGCATTATGTTTAGTCTGCTCTATGATCTCAGATGCGCTATAATATCATTTTCTTAATGAAATAAAATTCTTGGCAGAGATCAGATAATTTAGTCAGTTAAAATCAATTGCATCCAGTCTGGAATAGAGAGCAAATATATCATTTAACTCCATGTTTTATTTAAAAACATAGCTAGAGGATTTACAGAATAGAATGTCAACCTTTCCTACTTTTCCTTTGTATGAGGGAGACCATCATAAGCAACACCGGCTAATCTTTCTTCCCCTTAGAAACATTCATAAAATAAAAATGCATTTATTAATACTAATAGGGCCTGGCAGCAATAATTTTAAAAATTAATTAGGCACAGCCCTGGCTGGTTTCTCAGTGGTTAGAGCATCCACCTGTGGACCAAAGGGTTGAGGGCTTGATTCAGGTCAAAGGCACATACCTCAGTTGCAGGTTCCAACCCCAACCCCAGTCCATTGGGGTCGGTTGTGTGTCTCTCTCACACAGATGTTTCCCTCTTTCCCTCACTTCCTCCTTCCTACTCTCTCTAAAAATTCAGTGGGACAATATCCTTGGGTGAGGATTAACAACAACAAAATAATAAAAATAAAATAGACACAAACACAATACTGAGACTATCTAGTTGAGGGGAAACACATGTCAATGTCTTAAAAAGCTGATTGACAACTCCTGTGCTGTCTACATGTTAACAGTCATAACTCATTGGCCCCCTACGCAACTCCCATTCAAATGCGTAGTCATTAATAGCTACTGTTAACCCCTACTGCCTGGCTCTGTCTTGGGACCTCCCATGATTTATTTGCATGGTAAACTGGGTTATTTGGTTTGTTTTATTTTTGGAATGATTATAAGCCACATTTCAGGCTGAGTTACGGAAAGGTGGATAGACACATCATAATTTATTATAGTCTCCTGGGATTTCTTGAGCTTGGTACGTAGTGAATTATTTTTGTATCTCTTTCATTCTGTGTATATGCTCAGTCACATTTTAACCAGGGTTTTAAGGCAATTTCTTAATAAAATTCTTTAAAAGCAACAAGGCCCCAAACCTGTGATTGGTGTTTCTGGTGGTCTGATGGGAGGGGGTGTGGCGTGTCAAGTGTTTCCTTCTCTAGCCTTTTTCATACTGAAGTATGAAAACATCTCCTTTTCCTAAGACTAGATTTGGCTTCTCCATGAAACTAAAGTATTTATCACAAACAGTGTTGTGTATTTCTGGCAACCGAGGTTGGTAAAAAACATAAATGTTTTCTCTTAAACCTTATAGGGCTAAATTAGTTTGTATCTTTAAAAATTGAAAGAAGAGATTTCAAGATATTTGGTTTGACATGTACTTTGAGTGATAACTTATTCCTCGCAGTATTTTTTCAAAATATGAAATGGCACATGGAACATATTAACCTACACTTAAATAAAAAAGCTTCAAAATACGTTTGTATGCTTACTTTTTTAAGTTCCAGAGCATTTCAGAAAAGCTGATGTGATATTTAACTTCGCAACATAAACACGTTCTTTCCTTTCTTTTATTAATGGGCTGCTTTCTCTTCCAGTATAATTCTGAGTTTTTCTGGCTAGTATCTTACCAGTGCACGGAGTCAGAAGGTTGCCATGCCCCGACCAACATCTTATTTAGCTACTGAAATTTGGAAGTGATTCAGAATAGGTGACATGCCTCCATTTAATCCTGGCTTTCTTTATCTGCTTTTAAAATTCAGCTTGGGTGGAATCCAATGTCTGCAGAAATCACAAGTTGGAAATGACACTTCTAATTCCTTAATGCAAAACCACCTCTTGATTTAGTCAGAGACTAACTGGCCAGTTTATGGATTGTCCAGGCTACTTTTTACTTCTTTCCTTCCAACTGGCTGCCTTTTAATTCTTTTTTTTTTTTTTCCTTGGAAATACGTACTCTTACCCCTCCTAAGGCCAGGAAATAGATGACAGATATCATTTGATGTGTCACTTGATCACCACTCTGCTGAAAGGAGGTGGTAAACTCTGGGATGAAAATAAAGTTTTAAACTTTCCATTTTGTTTTCAAACTACCATGATACTCATCATTTCCCCCCATGATCTGCAGCAGTCAAGGAATGATCCTTAGGTA